TGGGTGGTAGAGAGGAAGTGTCTTCAGTGGGAAGAGGACAGCCGACATGGAGTGGGTCGGAGGTGTGGGCATGTTAGCAAGTACAATGCAGCTCCTTCAAGTCTCACTTGTACCTGAAATTTATGATGGCTGGAGATCCTGGCTAGAGAACCTGGCTAGGCTGCTGATCAACTGAACGCTGCCTCCGTGTCATTCCTTCTTTGCCGACTCCGTCCACTCCTTTGGGGACCCCTGGACCCGCTGGGGATGGACCCCAGCAGGATGTAAGGAAGGTTATATGATGTTGGCAGAAAGCAGGTGGGGATTGGATTACAGGACAGTCAACAAGAGTGTGGTCTCATCTTTAAAAAATAATAACACCCAGAAATATTTATATTTTCTTTACAGAGAGGAAGGGAATGGAAGAGAGAGATAGAAACACTAATGAGATAGAAGCATCCAGTGGCTGCCCCCTACATGCCTTTTGCTGGGTTTTGAGCCCACAACCTGAGCATTTGTCCTGACTAGGAATGGAACTGGTGACCTTTTCATTCATGGGCCAACACTCAACCACTGAGCCACACCGGCCAGGCCAGATTGTGCTCTTGAGAGTGGTTATTTCAAAGGTGAGTTCACCTAGATGCGCAGAAACAATGGGCAGGGCTTGCTTAAGGAAAACAAACCTCTTACTAAAAGGTATATGCCTGGGATGTGACCCCGCCATGACCTGCCCAGGTAGGAATTTATGATCTCATCACCCTGTGAGGGTACTTTGCATAGAACCCATTTTTCATCCACGGTCCCCCTTTTGATCACAAGTCAATTTGAAGGATGCGTGGATGACCAACCTTTTGGTTGGATAGTGTGGTCTCACAGCGCTTGGAGGGCCCTTTTCTAGGAAGTGTCAGTGTCCACCTTGTGTCGGTGACCATTGGGATGGGGCCATACTGTAATCATGGGCTCTGTGTTGAGGCTAAATTTTTCCAAAATGGGACGGGCAGGTAAAGGGAAGGCAGTGACGTCTATGGCCGTCATTGTGAGAAAACACTCTGGCCCTGGCTGGAGCAATAGATGTTCCTCTCTCTGTCTCTCTCCATCTCAAATCAATAATAATGAAAACACTCTGGATAATTTCTGTTCTGTGAACGATCATGAGGGAAACAGACCTTTCCATGGAGAGGATTCTCTCAGTTCTGTCTGGACTATCTTACCTTGGAGCCCAGGGAAGAAAGGAAATGCTGATTGTCTGTAGCTTTATTGTTAGAAGCAAAAACAGCATTTATCAGCTACCGCTTCTGAGACCTGCCTGAAACAGAGAACCAAGGGACTTGCCGGTATATTAATAGCTGATCCTAAGGTGGCTCACCTGCGTGTCTTTGTTCTGCATGGGAATGCTCTAAGACTTTACAAATAATGACTCACATTCTTCCAATAACCACTGAACTGTGTACCATTTGTATCTGTAAACACAGGGCCAGGTCTATTTTCTGCTGCCCCTCCTGTCCTGGGCACCCTCTGGGCTCTTGGCACTGATGGCTCAAGCCTGGGGTGTGTGCCATGGCAGGGACACA